ACTCACTGCTGTAACAAAGTTCTGGTACCACATCCTAGCATGAGCTGGCACAACTCGAATACGATACTTGCAGTCTGGCATGGTGAAGTCCGTATGGTTGTTTTGAACGCAGTTTTGTACGCCCATAGAGTTTTATCCAACTTTACAGACCAATCCTTAAGAGAAGTACTAATCGTCTTATCAATAATTCATTTAAGTTCACGGTTAGCTACTTCTACTTGCCCACTAGTTTGGGCATGGTACGGGGTTCCTATTTTGTATGTGACCCCGTACTTAGACAACAATGCAGTGAACTGCTTGTTCACAAAGTACGACCCATTTTCACTGATAATCAGTCGAGGTATCCCAAAGCGAGTAAAGATGTTCTTCCGCAAGAACTCACACACCACCCGAGCATCATTGGTCCTAGTAGGGATTGCTTCGACTCATTTAGAGATGTAGTCAATGGCTACTAGGATATACTCATATGAATGAGACGATGGAAATGGGCCCATGAAGTCAATGCCCCAAACGTGAAAAATTTCACATACATGAATGGAGTTTAGTGGCATCTCATCACTCCTGCTAATGTTACTTGCCCTTTGACACTTGTCACATGCAGCTACATAAACCCGTATGTCTTTGTACAAAGTAGGCCAATAGAAATCGACTTTCATGACCTTTGTTACAGTGCGATTTCCATCATAGCGTCCTCCAGCTGCTCCATCATGGCAATGAGAAAGAATGCTCGCCATCTCTTCTTCAGGCACACACCTTTGAATCACACCATCTACACACAATTTAAACAATAAAGGGTCATTCCATAAATAACTTTTTACCTCACCTTGAAGCTTCTTTCTTTGATCACGAGAGAGGTCACGAGGCAACCATCCACTAGCCAAAAGGTTGGCTACATCAGCATACCAATGAGGCCTTTCGAAGACCGCAACAATGAAAAAAATCTGCTCATCAGGGAACTCTTCCCTTACTTAAATTGTTTCAACCGGAAGTCTCTCAAGTCAAGATAGATGATCAACAACTTTATTTTCTGTGTCCTTCCTATCTTTGATCTCCAAGTCAAACTCTTGAAGCAATAACACTCATCGCATCAGACGCGACTTGGACTTCTTCTTACTCAACAGGTATTTCAAGGCTGAGTGATCAACGTCTACAATCACTTTACTCCCCACCAGGTATGATCTAAACATGTCAAAAGCAAAGACTGCAGCAAAGAACTCTTTCTCAGTAGTGGGCCTAAACATCTTATCTTTTCTTTACCCCAGAACTGCTCCCACAACTACATCACTAGCATTACACATTATCTCAAATGGCTGGCTCCAATCAGGTGTCACCATTATAGGAGCACTCACAAGCTTTTTCTTTATCAATTCGAATGATCTTAAGCACTCTACATTGAAAGCAAACTTGACATCTTTCACTAGCAATGCAGTCGACGGCTTGGTAATGCTGGAAATATTTTTGATGAACCTCCTATAGAACCTAGCATCTCCCAAGAAACTCCTTATGCTCTTCACAGAATTCGGTGGAGGGAGCCTAGCAATTACATCAACCTTAGCTCTATCAACTTCAATTACATGTACAGTCACTTTGTGGCCCAGGACAATTTCCTCTTTCACCATGAAATGGCACTTCTCCCAATTAAGAACCAAGTGAGTGGCTTCACAACGGTCGAGCACAAGCTCCAAATTCTTCAAGCAATCCTCAAAGTCATCACCAAAGAGGGTGAAATCATCCATGAATACTTCTAGACACTTCCTGTTTAAATCAGAGACTATATACATCATACACCTCTAAAAAGCGGCAGGTGCATTACACAACCCAACCGGCATCCTCCTGTAAGAAAATAATACCTGACGGGCAAGTGAATGTGGTCTTCTCAACATCTTCTGGGGCAATGGGTATTTGATTGTAGCCTGAGTACCATCCAAGAAGTAGTAGCATCCATGTCCATCCACTTTCTCGAGCATTTGATCAATAAAGGGAAGTGAAAAATGGTCTTTCCTTGTTGCATCATTCAGCCTTCTATAATCAATACACATTCTCCACCCAGTGACTGTTCTTGTGGGGATCAATTCATTGTCTTCATTCTTGACCACTGGCATGCCCCTCTTCTTAGGTACAACTTGCACTAGACTAATCCACTGCTATCATAGATGGAGAAAATCACTCCCGTATATAGCAATTTGATGATCTCCTTGTGCACTACCTCCTCCAAATTTTTGTTCAACTTGCGTTGGGGTTGCACCACTGGCTTGCTATTTTCTTCCAACAAAATTTTATGCATGCAAATGGCTGGACTGATTCCTTGAATATCAGTTGTATTCCAGCCAATGGCCTTCCTGTGCTTTTTCAGCAGCTCCACCAACTTCTGCTCATGTGTACCTGTCAAGTTAGCAGAAATAATCACAAGAAAATTGTTAGTTTCATGAAAAGCATATTTCAAGTGAGTGGGGAGGACTTTCAATTCCACATTAGGCTTAGAAGCCTCCTCTTTTGGTTCTTCCTCATCAACCACTTGATCCTCAGTTTCAAGAGCTTCAGCCTCTTTCTTTATTTCAGGATCTTCATCCTCCACTGTGCTAAACTGAGTAATACACCTCTCTAGAGTATCCCCTACAAGCTTGTCAAACATGTATTTTTCAGCCAATTCCTCAACAATATCTAGCTTGAAACACGAGTAGGTGGACGCCGTATAACTGGGGTATTTCATCATCCTCTTCATCTAGAACACCACTTTTTCAATGCCCACTCTAAGCATAAGCTGCCCCTCGTAGATATCAAGGATAGCTTTGCCTGTACATAAAAATGGCCTCCCTAGAATTAGAGGCACATCTTTGTTAACCTCCATATCCACCACAATAAAGTCTTCGGGGAACACAAATTTGTCTACCCCCACTAGAATATCCTCATTGATTCCCTCGGGTAAAATAGTGGTCTGGTCAGCCAGTTGTAGGGACACTGGTATTGATTTGTTCACTCCAAGCTCACCTTCTAGTTTCCTGAATACAGACAGAGGTATTAGATTTATAGACGCACCAGAATCGCAGAGGGCCTTGTCGAATTTATCACTCCCCAACGAGCATGTATGGTGAAGCTTCCTGGGTCCCCACACTTTTGGGAAATGTATTTTGCAATATGGCACTGCATTGGGCATTCAGCTTGACCATTGTTGTCTCCTCTAATTTTCTCTTGCTGGACAGGATTTCCTTCAAGAACTTTGCATAAGCAGGCATCTGAGTGAGTACCTCTGTGAAGCGAATGTTCACATAAAGTTACTTGAGCATCTCCAAGAATCGCCCGAAACATTTGTCAAATTTTTTCCGCTTCATCTTTTGAGGGAATGATAGAGCTGGCATATGTCTACTTTCTTCAATCTTCTTTTGTATCCCTCTAGACTGGTTTTTCTGCTCTTCACTCTTTTTCTCTTCCAATGTCTCAGTCTTCTTGTTCACCACCTCTGGTCTTGATTTCACCACTGGGTCAACCAATATTTTTCCACTTCTTGAAGATACAGCTTTGATTGTTTCCTTTGGTTCTTTTCAGTGTCAGAGGGTAAAGTCCTATGAGCTCTCTCAGATAATAAATTTGCAATCTCTCCCAATTGTCTTTCTAAATTCCGGATGGCCGTGCCCTGCTCTCGGATGGTTGTGCCCTAAGTCTCAAATTTTTCATCAGATTTGTTGATAAATGCCTTCATGAGATCTTCCATACTAGACTGATTTGACTATTGTGTGCTGGTTCTGAAAACCTGGTGGTCCTTGACCTTGGGGTTTGAAATTATTTTGATGCCATGAGTTCAGGCTCCCACTAGGTGAACTCCACGAAAAACCTGGATGTCTTTGATGAATATTCCCCTATTTTCTAGTTCGATTAACAATTCAAAAGGCTCTTTCAATTACCTATTTGAATCATGAATTTAAACTAGAGCATAAGATGTGAAGAAATTCAATATCAAACTTCTCTTTTGGTTAAGCAAAATAATAAATAACTCTACAATACAAATTAAAACTCCATCAATTAATCCTAACAATTACCAAGAATCGAATCCCTAATCAAGTTATCGAAACACCGTATTTGTCATCACCTTAATGAAAATTACTTCATAGCAATGGAGTATGACATCATGGTTCAAAAAACAAAGAAAACATCAATTCTAATGATTTGATACAAACTCCCATATTACACCGATTGCAGGTTGAAATATTGATAATTCTTGAGTCTTCTTGCCTTGGTTCGTTCTCCAATCTTTCGTAGGTCAAAAATCCCCTCAAAATCGTATTTTTGGTGTATTTATACCATGTAGGAACAAGCCCGGACGAAACTACCCTTTCCTAGCCGAACTAGACTAGGAGATCACTCTTGATATTTTTGCACCCCCGCGCCGCGCCATGCGGCGCGCTTGTGAGGAAATCTAAAGAGCTCGCACATTGCCCATTAGACCAACTTCTACACTGTCGCGCCGCGCCGCGACCTATGCGGCTCGACTGTGCCTTTTTCTCACAGTAAATTCGTTTGTTCACTTTTTGACATCCGGACTTGGTCCTCAACCCCCAAACGTGATCCCGACTTAATTTCTTAGACTTCTACTCACACTTCAAAGCTCCAACTTGTTTTATTTAGCTCCAAATTACCTTAATAGCTCGGAATTGTTTCCTGCAAGGTATAAAACACGTAATAAGTTTAATTCACTATCATTTAAGTTCAAACACACGTAAAATGCGGTGATTAGAGTGCAATACTATGGCGGCTAAAACACAGGTTCACATTCATCCAAAATATCGTTCATTGTAGAGGAAGACTAAACAACGGCATCCTGGCTCCCGGCTGTATGAGCAATGACTTCCATATACAACTCATATATTATTTATGGCATCCTATGAAAATGTATTTATAAAAGAACATAAACTACCCAGATTCACGAAAAGAATCTCTCTCGCCATGTATGTTATCTACAGCATCCTATCAAAAGAAAATACATGAACTGCCCAGATTCACGAAAATAATAAAAAGAGCACCTTAATTTGCAAGGGTTCTATGATTGCTATCAAGTAGACCACACTGTGGAAAGGACACTTTGAGAAAGGAAACAGTGATATTACAGATCCGCAGCACAAAGACGCTGCTGAGAACCATATTTACAATTCAAAAAGGCAAAACCCAAAAGTGGCTTGATACTCTTTCAAGGATCCAATAATGTCTAGTAAATGATTTACATCTTCTATGCTTCAAATTTAATCTATCTTTCATTAGCTTTTGTTCCTTGAATAAATTGTTCCAGTACCTGGAAAAGCTTAGCAATCCTATTAATCTCCCAGTCAGTTAGTAATCTTCTGAAGTTTATAATCCAGCCCTGCTGCCCCGAAGTCTCATGAATAGTTGCATCAGGTGCTTGAGTGAGGTTGAATAGATCTGGATAAATCTCCTCAAGGGGCTGAGAGCCAACCCAGCTGCCATTCCAGAAAGATATTTTCCTACCATTACTAACTTTGTGACTGATATTGTTTGCAAAAGAACGCCCCCACACTTAGTTCCACTTGACTGTCAGGTGCTTATACCGGAGTACCTTAGTACGTGAAGAACTTAGGTCCACCACAACCTTAGCCCTGAAAAGATATTTAAGCAGTAATGTAAGTGACAAGAGATGACACAACAGTCAAAGAAGAATGTGATCTCTTCTCTTTCCCACTTCTGATATAACAATGACATAATGAACTGTAAAACTGATTAGAACAGAAGACTCCCACCTCTAAGAGAAGTGAAACCACTTACCAAACAGAAAAACAATTGCTGATACCATGAGCACCGTTACATGAAGCACCAAGTCCAAGAGGACCGTTGGACTAAAGGAACGCCAGTAACACCAATGCACACGGAGAGACAAGATACAGTCAGAAAAAACTGGTGTAAGATAGCTTTACATTTTTCCCTTTCAATAAATAATAAGCTAAGGTATCACTGAAGAGAGTATCTAATCAGGAGTAAGATTCACTTAATCAGATTCCCGTTTTCTGTTCTTCTATCAAGTAATCGGATTCTGTAATATACTGTGCTCTATTAACAGCTAAGATGTGATCACAGTTATCACATGTGATTAATACTTGACAAACAACTGATGTGACTATGAGACAGTTATTGCTCCTGGATAAATCTGGACAACTGATGAGTCTCCACGATGTTGCGTTCATGAGTCCAACTGTCACCACTTATTAGTCCGAACTACACAGGATGGGAAACATACCAAAGACATAATTTCTTCCATATCACCACCAACAAATTCCTTACGATTCACAGCACTTCATAAAAGTCATAAACAATTGATACACAGCAAATTAGCATGCAGTATAATAATATCCACATTTCATGTTGTTTAACTGTGGCAATTATTATGGGTAGGGAAGTTTAGTAATAGTGTGCATTTAAGGGGAAAAAAAATGAAGAACGAAGATGATACCATGGGTACCATAACATGAGGAATCCAAGTCCAAGAAGATTGTGTCCCTTAAAATGTCAGTAAACCATTACGAAGGAGAGACAGAACACAGTAAGAAAACGTTATAAGGTAGCTTTACATTATTCCTTTCTATAATTAAAGAGCTAAGATAACATCGATGAGAGCAGAAGACAGCCTATAACCATTCGAAAGATCTATCTACAACAGTATGTTATTGGCACTTAGATTCAGGAAATCAGATTCAGTAGTGTACAGTAATGTATTAACAGCTAATATTTGATTAAAATTGTCAGTAACTTAAAGCTTCACAAACAACTGATGTGATTATGATATAGTAATAGTAATAACCAGCAAATACATCTAAATACCTTATGGGTCTGTACGATATCGCGTTCCTGACCGTCTTAATACTCCAAATCACTGAGGATGAGAAACTTTCTCTCATCTTGATAAAGAGAACTCTAATGAAACTCAGAACTTCAGATGAATCGCAATAAATTGACCAAGCAAATCAATGTGATACACATTCAAGTTATTTAACTTGCCACAATACTTTTGTGGTAATTAATTTATTAGTAGGGAAGTTTAAGCAACGAGGTGTGTGTTTATGAGAAATAATACCAAATCAAGGAAATGCCAGGAGCGACACCATTAAATTAATTGCTTAAATTAAGATTAGTACTTAAATGGTATTGCGTTCAGTATTTGGAAAATCCAGCAAAAAAGGGCTTGCTCACAAAGAAATATACCAACTTGCGGCAAGCTCCGGTAAAATAGAGTGAAGCTAAAAGATAAAACTGCTGCCTCTGAGTGAAGCTAAAAGATAAATCTGCTGCCTCTCATGGCCCTACAATAGACTATGCCAAACACGCGTCCCTGAAAGTTGACATCTTTTGGATTAATAGTAGCTATAGATGAAAACAGAAAAAATACCAACCACTGCACAAATCACACACCAATGTCGTAAACTCCTGTCGTTTCTCCACAGCAAGAGAAGGAAAGGAAAACGCACAAAATTGTTCCGCCTTGCCATCTAATTGGCAAGAAAAGGTAGCTCATTTAAAGATATACCAATAACAGATATCAGAATATTAATTTAGGGTATTTTTGCTCCTTTTCTCCATATTATTAAGATTAAGATGAATACGACCAAATTTTACACTGTTGCATGAAGCAAAAGATCTCTTTCCTTAGATCCTAAAGAAGGAATTCAAATTGCACTAATACTCTAATGATTTGAGAAGACAGTAATATGAGGGTGCAAAAATATAAGTTGAGGGTGGGGGACATACTTGAAGAAAAAGAGAAGACTCAAAATCAGAGCACACAACAGTCATGAAAGACTCTTGAACCTTGTGATGAGGCGAAGCTTAAGCTAATCACATGTATATAGAAATGATCATGTCCATTTCTTCTGTTGTAGCACAGATTTTATATCCATCTTCTTGCACTTTTGATGATAAATATACAGGTAGGAGTTTAGGCCTAACCACCCCCTCCCCGACCAACAGTTGGTGGTATTATTTTTTTTTGAAAAAAAAGAATGAATATCTCTGGTAACAAGTTGGTCCTAAATTACAGGCAAAGGTTCCAGAGAAAACAAAACAGATAAGACACATGCAGTCAGTAACTGAACAGACAAAAACCGCTAAACGTTTCAGTGAATATAAGCAACTAAGGGGTCGTTTGGTATAAGGGATAAGTAAAAATAGTGCTGGGATAAAAATTTAATACCACCTTATACCTTGTTTGGTTACCAAACCTGGGTAAGTTATCCCGGGATTAAAATTAGTACGGGGATAACTTATACCTTGTAGGGGGTGAGATAATTAATGCTGGGATTATTATCCTAGGACAAAATAGTGAAATTCGCAAAAATAGCCCTAAGGTCCTCTTTCCAAATATTCGTTGGGTTCATTTGTTTCTCTTTATGTGCTTGAAAATTATAAACTTTTGCTCATAGACTCCTTTTTCTAATTGAAATATTTTGTATATTAATTCTTTTCATTTTTATTATGGCAAAATTAGGTTTTCTTACCGATCATCAACTATTGTCCAATATCAGCAAGAAGATTTAGAAGAAGAAATCAGGAAATATATTTCAAAGAATTGAAAACTAGAGCCTCAAAAAATTATTTAATACTTGATGTAAGAATTGGATATTGACGTGTCAACCGGATAAAGGAGCAAGAAGATGGAGGCTAAATAAGATGGAGGGTATTTTTGTAAACAAACAACTTCTTCTTAGAAATTATGCAATGCATGTCATTTTTAATACAACATACCAAACAGTGGATAAAAAACAATACCAGGATAACTAATCCCAGCATAACTTATCCCAGCATAACCTGTATTCAAACCAAACGACCCCTAAAAGAAATTATAACATTCTTAGACTACATGACTAGTTTTGGCAGAAAATCTTCAAACAGAAACCTATGTTGACCATTACTTCCCTTGACAACTGAACTTTAGTAAGAAGAAACATAAATCAGATGCTAAAAATAGAGAGATAACAGAAAGTCTACAAAAGTCATAATCTTAATCACCCGACAGTAAGAAATGGATTTTTGCCAATGAGGCTGCCGGACTCTTTGAAAACTGAACTTAAAGCACCACATTTTTATCTCTTCATGCTTGTGAAATCTGATGACTTCCTGGCATACAAAATAAAAGTTAAACCCTAACCCAACACAGATCTTTGTTCAGTTCGCCAGTTCATGAATAAAGTTGACCCTGGTTGGCCATCAAAGGAAGGTTGAAACTCACATTTAATGCACTTCATGCTCCCAACTACCAGTCATGCCCTCTAAAGTCTGCTTATTAACCTAGTTAAGCATCTTTAAACTTTAAAGCATTCACCAACCAAAAAATATGCTACCCACTAAATGAAGAAGAAGTTCACACTGTCAAATCCCAACTGCAGCAACATGTAGTTGCTGGATGGCATAGACCAATATCGACATTCAAAAACTTATCCAGTGTTACACTTACGGAAAGCAATAAGGTGGAAACTGTTTGTAGTCCAAACAGCATAATAACCCAATGTGCTGACAACATTTACACACACATTATTGCCAGCCATTAGCTGTTATAACCATAATAATACTAGGTGAAAACTTAAAAAAAAAAAAAAAACAAACCTCCAATCATATGGTAAGAGGTCTTGTATTCGACATAATTCAGTAGCTAACTTCTGCTCTTACATTAAGAACAGAAAGATAAGTAAACTTAATTCCATTTACAGAAAAGGTAAAAGAGCCGGCGTCAAAACCTAAAATACACCACCCTAGACATGCAAAAACAACTTCTTCATGCAAAGGTAACATAACCATCTCTTTTGAAAAGTAACACAAGCACAAAACAAAGCAGCTAACTGTCCCATATACTACCCCACTTCCATCATGTCATAACACACATTTGTTTCTAAACCACAAGCAATAACTAATCACAAGACTTACTACTTCCAGTTAGTTAAGTCAACCATCAAAATTTGCTTAAATATCTCCAATTATATTTTTACTTTATTATAACTATGCAAGCACCTCTAACTGGTAATAAGAATTATTTCATCTTAAGAATAGGCAAGGCATGTATCCTCCAACCTGTGGCATAAAATACAGACAGCATTTAGCAGGATACCAGCCAACTGCAAGAAGATTTCTGGTGCTTCTTCTCCAATAATATCCAAAGATCCAAACATAATTTTAGTTCAAGGAGAAAACTTTTATCTTATCAAAGAAAAAATTAGCTCAAGGAGAAAAAAGGCATGCACACAAGGACATACAACATATCTTTAAATAGTAGACATGAAA